GAAATAGTGGTGATAGTAATTGTAGATCATGCAACATTTTGGGGGAGGGTGTCACATATTTCTATTTTACAAAGGTCTTTAAGACCCGGAACCTGGTGAGCTGTGGAAGCCACACACAATGTCTTAATATATTCTTGAATATGTGACCCACAGAAGTAGGTACTTATAAATATTATTTTTAATGCTAGAAAACGAAATCTGATCTTGAGTAAAACAAATTAGTAATAGTTATAATCATAGTAAACACATATGGCACTTAGTTTGTGCTAGACACAGACTAGGTTAAGTGTTTTATACATTACCTTATTTAACAGTCACAATAACCCGATTTTACAGATGGGGAAACTAGCTTGTAGTTTAGTAATACCACTACCACTACACCACTGCACCACTGCCACCACAAAAGTCTTTTTTCCAAGAGCCTGCACTCTGGTTCTGCCAATTACTATCTACGAAAACCTTCAACTAGTTAAACTGATAGAGCCTTTTTTCCTTTTTTCTTAGATACTAACAGAGATAATAATACTTTGCCTTTTTGTAGGATTATTGTACATATCCAAATGAAGTAACTTTTTCAAATATCTTTATAAACTTTAAAGCATTAACCAAATTTACCCTCTTTTTAAAAGATTTGACCCCAATAATTCCTCTAAGGAATAAAGTTGATACCATATATCTATAGTAAACAGCTGACAGTGTGCAGAGGATGGCTATAGTACAATTAGATGTTTATGAGAGACTGTTGTATGTGTGATAATATATGAACAGGATATTAAACTGAAAGGTTAGTGAAGATATCAGATTCCAAAGTGAACTATCAGAATAAGATGCAGATAGATTAACCTGTAAGGAAGCTATAAAAGTATCAGGAGTGGAACGGAGGAAGATTGGTGAAGAATTTTCTTTGACAGGGTATTGCCTCCCCAACACTCCCCTGTCCGGGGACATTCCCACAGACATACATGTGAGAAGGGCTGCTTGCAGAGAGAGGGAGGCTTTTATGTGTGTTCTTTTGAGGACCTGTAGGCACACGTCTAGGAGCATAGGGACGGGTAACTGGCATGTTTCACATGGTGTGACTCTATGGTTTTTATATGAAGAGGAAGAGAGTGCTAAAGTTTTAGGAAGTCACTTCAGGGAGAACTCTCTCCCTGATGGGTGAGTCCCAAGGTGGACAGGACTCTGCTTGTGTACAGGGGGATGGGAGCAAAGGAGAGCTGCAGCAGATGGGATCAGTAGCACACTTAAAGTTTGTTAGGGTTGCAAATGAGTGATGCCAAGAAGGAGGGGACTGGTATAAGAGTTCACTTACTGTCTGGGAGACCTGCTTGAGGGGTTATAAGATCTCAGCAAAAAAGGAAGTTAGAGGATTCCATGTTGATAGAGGGTAGAGAGTAAGTAGAATAGAACACATATGTTCCCCAACTTAGGATGGTTCAACCTAATGATTTTTTTTTTTTACTTCAGTGGTACAAGAGCTGTATGTATTATTCTGTAAAAACTGTACTTCAAGGGGCCAGGTATGGTGGGTTATGCCTTCATTCCCAGCTATGCAGGAGGCAGAGATTGGAGGGGTTGTGGTCTAAGGCTGGATCAGGCAGAAGCATGAGAATCTATCTAAAAACAAACTAAAGCAAGTACAACTGGGCAAAAAGGGAGAGTGGCTCAAGTTGTAGCATGTTTGCCTAGCAAGTGCAAGGCCCTGAGTTCAGTTCTCAGTACTGCCCAAAAAAAAAAAAAAAGGAAAAAACTCTGTTTCACATTTTACATTTTGATCTTTTCCTGTACCAGAGGTGCAATGTAATACTCTCTTGACTCTGGGCAACAACAGCAAGACATAGCTCTCATTCAGCCATATGATCATGAAGGTAAACAACCAATTCTCCGCAGTATGGTATGTTGCTAAACTATAATGTTTGGTAGGTTAATGTGTTAAATGCCTTAACACACCTAACCTACCTACCTATGTTAATGACTTAACGATATTTTTGACTTATAGTGGGTTTATTGAACATAGTCTCATCATAAATCAAGAAGCATCTGTACATTTGCCCAAGTTAATGGAGCTTCAGAGGAGGTGGGGCTGGCTTTATGGGCATGTGTTTCATGCCTCACATGGGGCTCTACACTTGGTTTAATGCTCTGCAGTCATCATCTTGAGATTCTTAATAATGTTTTAACAAAGGGTCCTCCTCTTTTATTTTGTCCTGAGTCCTGTAGGTTGTGTTGTCATACCTGCAGGTGAACAACTACCTGTGAAATTGGGGGTTTCTGATAAAGCCAATATGAGAAAAAGAACCTTCAATGTCTGTCAGGCCTGGAGAGATTAACACCATCTTACAGTGGTATCAATGAAACACAAACTTCTGAAATTTCGGTAGGGACCTGAAACCACAATTAGTAGGAAGAGATGGGGGGTGTTGGGAAGAGCAGCAAACCATCCACTGCTGCCTGTACCACATCTACACCTGGGAGTTAAGGTGATTGGGGAGAGGGGTGCAAATGTTACTATGTGTGTAAAGATTGAAATGTTGAAAAGTATAGCACATTTTAGTTGAGATGTGTTTGTGAATGAATGTGAGAGAAGTGATTATATGAATCATGAGGCCTTTTATAATTTATATTCACCGACAGAGGAAAAAGTCTCCTGCAAAAAGTAAATTTTAAAGACATGGGGGAGAGAAAAGTAAAAGTGCATCCTGATCACATTGTTTAGTATATTTTGTATTCATTAAGCTGCTTCTTCCTTAATTATACAAATTACTACTGCCTACATTGCACTCAGAGAATATTGCCTTAACATTTTTTTTCTTACAATTTAATATTTGAAATGGACTATGTATTGGTGCATTATATTGGCTTTAATAAATTCTTATAATAACAATCCTTTATTAAAACCTAAGATGGGCTATGTATTGATGCATTATATTGGCTTTATTAAAATTTGTATTCTGGATACCTGTAATTAGGAGATCTGGGATGCAATCTGAGGTTTTTAGTGCATTTTTTTCTTTCTTGGGTTAGTTACCACTTAATTTTCAGTTACTGTTTCTTGGAAAATACTTAAATATGTTATTTTTCAATTCATGCATATTATAAAGGTTGTTGACAGCTCAAGTAATGTACATAAACAGTTCTCCTGTAAGGTGAAATATTTTAAGATTTTCCATATTAATAACTGATGTAATTTTTCCCCTCTGATCTGCTTTTTACTTTGTATGTAAAATGTTTTCTTTTGGTGATTGGGCATGGTGGGGCATGTTTGTGGTGCTCAGGAGGTAGAGATAGGAGGATTGTGGTTTGATGCCAGCCTAAGCAAAAGCACAAAACCCTATCTAAAAAACAAACTATAGCAAAAGGACTTGGAGCATAACTCAAGTGGTAGAATGCTTGAGCAAGGCTTTGAATTCAATCCCCAGTACTGGGTGGGGAAAAGTTCCTTTTCAGGTATTTTTGAAAAGTGGAACTTTATCACTATTACAGAATTAGTTGGGTTAAATTGAGTTTTAGATGTTTGGTAGACCAAAGGCTTACTAGCTAATAGATTTTTATGTGGTGTAAAAATACCACAAATATTTTAGTGTTTTAAAATAGGACATTTTTTTTTCTTTTCTGGCAATACTGGGGGCCTCACTCTTGAGCCACACCCCAAGCCCCTTTTTGTTTTTTGTTATTTTTAGAGTAGGGTCTCACATTTTTTCCCAGGGCTGGCCTCAGATTGCAGTCCTCCTAACTGTACCTCCCATATAGCTGGAAGCAGAGACATGCACTGCCACACATGGCTTGTTGGTTGAGATTGGGGGCTTGCTAACTTTTGCCTAGGCTGGCCTTGAACTGTGATCCTCTTAATCTCCACCTCCCATATAGCTGGGATTACAGATATGGCCACTGTACCCAGCCTAGAATGGAACCTCCTTTTTGATATCTTCCTTTATCTCAGTTCTGTCCTGTTTTTTAGCTCTTTAGGAGCAGGGATCAGATCTTAAGTCACTTTTTTTAGTAATTATAACCCTTGTAACATTTATATGGTGATTTAAACAGTAGGGGCTCAATTAATGGGAGTGGAATTACATAGTTTTAACATAACTGTGTCAGAATCTTTTTTGAATTAATATTTATCTTTTATTTTTACAGGCTAATATTTCCAGTGATCACTGGCCAGCCTTGGTTCAAGAGGCTACAACGGAGGCCTCGAAACTTTGCTTTTGTCCACTGGCAGTCCTTTTACAAGCTTTGTTACAATTCAACTGCAAAATGGGGGCAAGGTATGAAGAATCTTTGTCCATGTTTTACTTGGAAATGCTGCTTCACTTTAAAGCCTAGGAAACAATAAAGGAAGGATTTACAGTGGGCTTATTAAAAACTAGTTTAACAAGCTTTGAGGTAGTTCTTACATCTCTACTTTAAAAGGGCTGGTTTTACTAATCTAGTAAAGGAGAAAGTAACATTTCATAATTGTTTAGCAAAAAAGTTGATACATAGATATGAGAGGTCTAGCATGATGCTGTTTCGAGTGAAGAAGTCCTTGGTGTTTTTGTTCTTTGCTATTTTAGGATGAGTCGGCAATGTGTTGTGAATTCTAGTAACAGACAAAGCCAGTAAGACCCAAGTTCAAATTCACATTAACAGAAGTTCTTGTTAATATAATAGACTAGAAAAAATATCAAATATTGAAAAGAAGCATTACAACTAATATGCTCAGATTAAAATGCTCAGATTAGACTGCTCAGATTAAAAAATCTAACAATACTTTTATTGGAGGTTGGGAATAGGGTCAAAATAAATGTGAAGAAAATTACGTATAAATGAAACAGATAAGAGTGCTTTAAAAATTCTTAAAATAGCATCCAGTTCTAATTACAAAGAAACTCTGAAACTATAACTTAGAAACTGACATTACAGGAACATAAGAAGTCTTATAGAGATAGAGCTTAATACACATAAATATGTACCCCAAAAAAATCACAAAATAGGGATAAAGGAAGAAGTAGGACCCTGTGACTAATCAGAAATTCTGCACTATTTGTTAACATTTATTTATTTTTGGCCTTTTTTTTGTGTGAACAGTTTCACCAAAAAATGTTTTAGTTTCTAAACTTTCTAATGAACTCTTTCTGCTGGTGTACATCGTGAGCGATTTAGAGAGCTGTAGCTCCCTTTCCCCTGTAATCTTGTTTACACATCCCATAATGTTTATCACTTCCAAAAATCAGCCCAATTAAACATGCAGTCTAAGAAAAAGTAGTGTGTTTACTGTGTGACCACTGTGCAGAAGCTTCTGTAAGACAAGTTCTTTACTTCCTGCTTCAAAGCAATTGCTACTTATAAGATCCTTCTATTTAGAAAATCTGACGTTACTACTGTTTATGTTGTTTCTACTAGTACAGTAATTTTGAGTCATAAACATTAGAAAATTAGAAAAAAAATTAGAACATAACTGTAAATCATATTGTACACATCCATGAAAATAGACTCTGGAAGCCTGATTTTGTATACTTGGCATTTAGAAGTTAAATACTTCTTGTTCCAGTGCATGGTTGTATTACTGGTTGACTGATTGCTTAGTTGTTTGGTGGATTGGTTTTCTGTCTGTTTTCAAAAATTAGAGGTCAAATACCCAGAATTGCTCATAAAATAGAAATCTTCTTCCCATTCTATTTGGAATGAGACATAATTTGCTTATCTGCATAGAAATAATAACAGCAACCTGCCTAACAAAGTTGTGAATATTAAATATGACCACACGTGTAAAACACTTAGCATAGTACCTATGGATAATAAACATATAGCAAACATTAACCATTATTATTACCTTTATTATTATCTCAATAAAAAAATTACATAGTAATCAGGTGACATATGTACAAATGAATGAGCAAGATGATGTATGTGTGAAACTAGTATGTAAAATATCTCCCATTGATTTACATGCTTTGAACTAAATTTAAACATCTTTCTACCAGAGAGACACGGCGGCTCTTGGAGAGAGTGGTGTATCAGCCTGGGTATCCCAAATCTATTGCATCAACTGCACGTTGGTACCTACTGAGACACCTATATGCCAAAAATGACTTTGAACTCATTGATGTAAGTTTTATTTAAAATATTTAAATATTTTAAATAAATATTTAAATAAATAAATATTTAAATATTTTATAATATTTATTTTATAAATATTTCATCTTGGACCTAAGGATTTTAGAGGAGTTAGTTACTCCCCTTTATGATTGTAGTTTTAAAAAGTGAGCCTCAGTATCCTTTGGCCAACAAAATACTACGTGACTACTGTTGTATCTATTTAAAGTAGAGCAATGATTATGCACATGGCTTGAAGATTAAAGAGGTTTTTTAAAAAAAACATGGGTTATTCCCCACCCCACCCCATGAGTTTGTTTTCGCCATGTTTTGTTTTTTTTCCACCATGGGTTTGTTATAAAATTCCTATTTTCATATGAAAAGCTAGGGTTCTTTGACATGAAAAGGGCTGTTAAAGCTCTGTTTAAAAATAGGTTAGTGAAAATTCAACCTGTACATGTATAAGAAGCTATACTAAGTTGTCTTTGAGTATAACCATTTCAATCAAATCTAGAATCTAAACTAATAGCAAGTCTTGGATAGAAGACATTGATATTTAGCCTTAGAATCATGATCAGTTGTGAAGTGTGTTCTCAGTAATTGGATATTAACCAGAGTTGGGAAGTTTTATTATCTTAATTTCTGCAGTGAAATGTAGCAGATTCATGCTGTCCTTTTCAACGCATCTTATAAACTTAAGTCTTAAGTGAAAGAGGAGTAAAATTTTAGGGAGCTGGTCTAATTGGCTTTATCTGTAAACTAATATGAACATGGCAAATTTAAAAGTCATTCATCAGATCTCAGGCTTAAAGAGCTGAGAGGTGCTGATTTAAGCCCTTATCTAGTGAAAGTTATAGGTCGTTCACCATGAATCTGTTACATTTCTGAACATGCTGAGAATGGGAGGCCTAACTCCTCTTTTCCAGATTATCTTTTCAAGAATGTTTGTAAAGTGAATAACCTTGGGAGACAGGTGATGTCTTCCTCCAGAGCAAAGTGTAGGCATTATGTAACCATAAAGTATGTGTTATAAAAGACTTGAGCCTCCTAAGTTCAGGGTTCCTGTCACGCAATACAACCCACTAGAAAAGTGGAAAGCTATATGTGTTCATCCACATCACCCCTGTGAAAGGCGCAGAGTACAAGAGCAATAGATGCCAATATGTTGATGCTCATGCCACTTGCTGCACCCTTAGTAATGAAGACATTTGTCTGGCTCAGAAGTCCCGTGTCTTGTGTCTTCTGGCAGCATCATGAAATTATTGGTGGGTTTGTCTCATTACCTTGCAAATAGAGCAAAATCTCAGACCCTTCCCTGTGCTTGACAGTGAACAACCAAAAACTATTTTAATAATTAAATTATGAGCTGGAATTGAATCTTCTAGTTTGTAGAATTTACATAACCATAAAAAGATTCTTGATAAAGCCTAAAACCTAGAGGTTAGATCTTAAACTGTGCCTTTCAGTGGGAAAAATGTCATTTGAACAGTTTTATACAGAAAGTATTTTGGATAAAGATTTAGAGGTGACAGGAATCTAAACAAAACCTTTAATTTTATACAGGAATAACAATTGTAACATTGTAACAATCAAAATAAATTATGTTACCTTTGGTTGAGCAATTTATTTGAGTAAAAGTGACTGAAAGATTGCATGTGATCACTTTTTCTTCTGTAGTTGATGTTGCTTTTTCAAAGCTGCCACTCTTTAGAATCCAAATGTAAATATTATTAGTAAACAAAATCCTAATGTTACATATTTGATTTCCCACAGGTGTTGGTAAAGAATGCTGAAACTCACAGAGATAGAAGAGCATTGGAACTGAATCAGAAATTGTCCTCACAATAATGTTTTGTCTTGTAGTAATAAAGCAAAGAAAAAGCTGTAAGAATGCAACAGTGAATCAAGAGTGTTCCTGAAGCAACATATTTTAAACTATGTTTACTGTCATCCGTTCTTTCCTTTTGTTGGTCTGAAGAAGTTTATGTTCTTGTGTTATGGATGTAATTTCCCCATTAATTCTTAATCTCATTTTAACCTGGAAACATGCGATTAGAAAGTCCACGTGAAAAAGAGAATTGTGATCTCTTTATTTGCTCAGCAGTTATTTGTGAGCCATTACTGTTTTCATCTTGCATGGTACATAACAGGGTATCTGTTTGGGGGTTATCTCTTATAATAAAGACTTTATAGCCATTTTCTATATAACATGAAAAAGCATAATTTTCATTTGTTAAAAATCAAAGACTTAATTTCTCCTACGAATTCTGATGTTCTGTAAAGCAACACATCATGAAACCCCTATAACCTGTTTTACTAGTGTTTCATCTCAGATTTTTCTTAAGAAGCATAATGAGTATGTTTCTGAGTCTTTGACTGCTAGTGGCTATGTTTATATAATTCAGAATACTCAGTTGTGTGGCTACATTTAAAAACATTAATGAAAAAATTTGGAAAAATAATGCTGATAATATTTAATTGTTCATGCAGTTCCCTCAATTATGATTCTGAAATAAAAGTGTCTTATTTTCTTTATAGTGTCAATATGAGACATAATTTCTAAGTTTCAAATCTTAAAACTTGAAAGCAGTTACCTATTTTTAAAGCTGTCTATATATTTAAAGAAACTATGTTGCTTACAATTGTGGTTTTACAAATATTTTCAGATATAAACATATTTATATATATACATAATTTATGTATGTGGTTTTCTAATCCAGCAGCTTCTTAGTGTTGCTTTGTGAGATAGTATGAATTGATAAAAAACCTCTATAATTAAATTATGCTTCAGAGGTTAATCTATTAAACTGAACTGTAATCTGGTATTTCCCACATTTGGGTGAACATTATAATTATTTAGAGCTCTGCAATCAGAAGCTTTCAAGGTGGGAGAGCCTAGGACTCTGACCTGCCTGAGAAATTCTAATGTTCGTTCAGATTTGTGAACCACTGGGTTAACCCAATGATGAGTCTTCCCTTTACTTCTTTCCTTAAGAAAATTAAGCATAAGTCATTTTCTTCCCTTTTCTTCCTTATCCTATTCTCCTAGCTCTTAAACTAATTCAGTGCTTTTAGAGCCTTGCCCACTGTCAGCAGAGATGCAATACAGATGGCTGCCTGTGCCCATGTCCTTGTTTCTTCAGGAAAATACTTCAGCCTTTTCAACCTAACTGGAGTGGCTCCATCTGCTTACATGCTTTGGGTACAATTCTTGTCTTCCATGTCCTTTCTGGGATGTCACTTGCTTCACAAGGTTACTTCAACATGTAGTGTGGTCTTGGTTGGCCTTTCCTCTAGGCCCATAATCACTTGACAAATTCTGGCTTCCAGGAACCCAAGACCTGGGTTTTCTAGAAAGGATTGGAAAAATACCTTAGTTAATACCATCTCAGGTAATTCTTTTTTGTATTTATGTGCACATATTTTTTTCTTTTGTTTTTTGCTTTCTCTTCAAATTGCTGCCCAGTTAAGTGTGAACCTCGTCATTCCTAATCATGTCATTTGTGCCAAACTTAGGCTAAGTGTTCCTAATATTGTCATTTAATACTAGTGCTTAAAACAAACGCATGCTTAAAACAAAGAAAATTTGAAATGGATCAGTGTTATTAGTACCTAGAAAATTTAAAAGGGCCAGAATTACTTTTTGAAGTTTACACATAAGTTTAATAAGACAAATTAGATTAAAGGTTATTTCCTGAAGTACCAATATTTAGCATGCATATTAGCATTTCTTTACCGTATTTGATTTGAGAATTAATGGTATATCTTCTGTTACTTTTTATCTACCATTTAACTGTTACTGATTAATTAGGCATTTATAGACATATTTGGCATCTGATGATAATTTCCTATGGAAAGAACATTTCAGCTTTTAACTAAACTTTTGAAACGTAATTCTGTTTCATATTTCTTGAAGTATCCTTTCTGTTAATTTCTGGTTATGGTGAAAAAAAAAAACCTCAATTGAAAATGCTATACTGTTTTTGCACTTTACAAAATGAGCTGTTAAGAAATTTTCTTTAATTAGTTAATAAGTTTTTCTACAGCCTAGGACTGGATACAATTAGGTAGTACATTAAAAGATTTGAAAAATGTAAAACATTAGTTACCTAAGTATTTATTGGTAATTTATAAATGTGAAAGAATACATATTTGGCTGCTTCATTGAAAGTTTGGTATCTACTTTCTGGAAACTAGTAGCACAAAAATGAAGCATGTTTTGGAGTATGAGTCAATGTGATTTGTAAGTCTGTTTTAGTTTTTGCACATTAAAAAAGTGTGGAATTTCTTTCTTTTTTTTTTTTGGCAGAGTTGACCCTTGCCTCTCTACAGCTCCTCCCTTCTCCCACATTAGTTGCTAGTGAATAAAAAATTCTTAGGTTTCCTTCCATTCTGCTTGTTCAATTTTTAGGAGAGTTATTTGTTTTGTTTTTGTCTATGTACTTTAAAAAGATTTATTTGTATATCACATATAGTGTAATAATTTTCCCATATAAATTTTATTTGTTCATATGGATGAATATATTTATTTCATGCAAATGAAATAAAAAGTCAGAAAATTCCCTCGTAAAGTCTGTGACCCACTTTTTGCTCATGAAATATAGTCCTCTAAAAGCTATAATACCTCAAGACCATCATGGTATCTAACTGTCAATATGCTATATAATGTGTTTTTTTCTCTTTCTTTAGCTGATTAGAAACTTTTTGAATAGCAGTATGCTAAGTTGTAATGTATCTGAACATCCTGTACAACTGTTTTTTATAAATTCTATACTGTGTTTAGACCTCAAAATGTTTAGAAGTAGCTATTATAAACATTCAATTTTTTCTTATTAATTTTGAACTTCGAATTGAAAATAAGTATTTATTCTAGTGAAAGGAAATTGTGCCAGGGAAAAGAATAATTATGGAGGGTGTGAGTCCAACTATGATATATTGAAAGAACTTTTGTAAATGTCACAGTATACCCCCAGCACAACAATAATATAATAATACTGAAAGAAAAGGATAACTCAAATGGAATACGTACTAAACAAGGATTGAGTTCTATATCACATCCCTGGGCTGTGAAATAATTTACATGCCATGATCCTTGATGACTTCGCATCAGCAAAAAAGTTAATTTGGGCTTCATTCTTCAATGTGTACTTGCCCTGTATGTAATATTTATTATAAAAAAATTTATATTTTTCTGGTGATAAGGTGAGTAATAAGGATGCTTATCTTGCTACTTCTGCTTATGGGGGGCAAAAATAATGGCCCCAAATACATTCCTGCCCTAATTCTTTAAATTTGTGTAGATAGGGCAAAAGAGACTTTGCAAATGTGATTGAATGTGTAGACCTCCAGATGGAGAGAGTAGCCTGGGTTACCCAGGTGGACACAATTTAATCATGAGTCCTTAAAACTGGAAAACTTTTCAGAGAGAGACAACAATAGGAGAAGCTCAGAAAGATCCCACATTGCTGGTTTTTAAGAAAGAGAAGGTGAGCCATCAGCCACAAATGAAGGATAGCTTCTAGAAATTAAAAAAAAAAAAAATCAAGGAAACATTTTCCTTTGGAGCCTCCAGAAATCCTGTTGACGTCATGATTGTAGCATGGTGGGACCCAGGTTGGACTTCTCCCCTACCAGACTGATCTACAGAACAGTAAGATAATCAATTTTTATTGTTTTAAGCCATTAACTTTTGATAATTTATGGCAACAATGGAAAATTAGTACATTACTTATAGTGGATTTTGTTAAGAGGAATATATATTCCTTTGAACTTAGATTTCACATCATTGACATTGGGGCTCATCATCTAAATTTTCACCAAAAGAGAACTGATCAGAAAAAGACAATAATGAATTATCAGATGTTTTTACTCACTGTGAAAACATAATGTTAAAATTACTTGACTTTTAAGAAATTGGTTGTTGATTTCTGTAGTAGTAAACATCTGAACCGTTCTTACCCAGCATGCTACTCACAGCATAGTCTCACCAACACCAGTGATAAGTTTTTCTTTATAATTCTCTTTTTTAAGAAACCACATTGAATTATACTCACAAAACCTAAGAAGCATGTTTCCACTAGATACTATTATCCCTTAGATACTGTTTTAATATCCAGTGGATATGTGACTGCGTAAATCCTTTGCCCTTAGTTTTAGTTTTTAGTGAATTTGTAAAGCCAGGGCCTTGGGCTAGATTTCTAATGGTGACATTAATAACCATACCAAAATTTTCCAAGTTATAAGTGAGCTGAAACAAAATACTAAAATAAATTGTTTGGTATAGCACCTGTGAAGCATCAATGCTAGTTTCCACTGAACAGGGAGGATCCCCTGTGCTTGTAAACCTTAGGATAGAAACCCTTTGCAGAGGCTCTTCTAGTTAAAAAGGAGGAGTAAAACAGGTCTTGGATCTCAGGCTCTGAGAAGGAAAGTAGTCCTCATTTCAGAGAATGCTTCAATGGAAGCCAGCCTCTATAAATGGCTGAATGTAATTACATTTGCCTGCTACATGCCAAATAGGTTATACTTTTTATAGAAAAGTCACTTACATTAAAACATTCACATTATTTTATAATATGACTCCATGTAGCTTAAATAACTTGAGTTTCTAAGATCTGGCCTTTTAAATGTCATTTCCTTCCCCCTTTGATCTATAAAATACAAAATATAGTCATTACTTAATCTCTATAGGGAAAAAATGCTGCATACTTTAGTATGAGGCAACTGGGAGCATTTTTATAACCTTTTAAACCACTGTATACTGGTTTAAAAGATGTAATCTTAATTGTTGTGTTCAGTTTAACAGCTCCATAAGAAAAAGTTCATATAGTCTTTAAAAACACATGCTAGCTTCAAAAGTTTGGAGATTAGCCTGGGAAGAATTCAGCTGGTATGGAAAAAAGACAACAAGTTTTATCTTTATATACTGAATTACGTGTTTTCTTGTGTATGTGTATTCCTGGCAATTCTAATTTCTCTTATGTTTGGAACACAAATGTCTCTGGGCACAAAAGAAAAACCAGATGGAGCAGAAGGGGTTTTTGTGTGTGTGTGTGTGGAAAGAGGGGAGGAGGCTAGGCAGAGAGAAAAACATTGCTAAGAAGGCACATTTATATTGTTAAAAGCAGCTTCTGTAAGGTAGAAATAAATATATTTTAGAATTGCTTAAGGTTATCCCTTCAGTGCCTGAGAACAAGTACTGTGCATATGGTTGGAAGGTTTTTCTGTGATTCAGAGTAAAAATAATCAACTCACTAAGCCCAGATTTACAAGAAATGGTGCATAATTTGTAAATATTAAGAAATATGTGGCAGTAATAAGCTTTTGTGCTATTCTAGGGAAGCCTAAGTAAGATCTAGCATTGCAAACAACTTGATACTGTACCAGCCAACAATTTGCTTCAGCAGAGGAGCATTTGTGCTTATGAATGTTTTCCGTAGCAATCATTAACCCACCAGGGCTTCAGCAACCAAGGATTTACAG